AGAACACTTATCTCTCTCACTGTACAGCAATTGATCCACTCGAATCACAAAGAAACAACTCTAAAGGATCAGAATCAACCAGACAGATTCACGAACAACTACTAACAAATATTCACACAGAATATCTCCACAAAGGAATCACACTACTACAAACACCTTCTCAAATCAAGTATTTGATATGGATTTTCAGAGAGATCAAGAGAATACAAAGATGAAAAACCCTCAATCACGGCATACCCAGAAAGAGAAAAGGAGATGAAAACCCTAGATTAAAAGTGACGGCTCGAATAAAGCCAAGATGCATATGGCTTTATAAGTAGAACAATCCAGAAGCCAATCCAACAGCTACAATCCGTCCACGTGTCACATATCCAGTGATGAGCTTGAATTAAAAGTTGCATTTGCCAAAACACGATTTTACCAAATTGGGAGCACTCAGATTGAACCCGGTTCAATCTCAACACCTATTTAATTTGTTGATTAATTTTTTTAATATTACCTCTCATTCAGATAATTTGAAGGGAGGATCATAATCCATGTTCCCATCCCGTTTATTATATGTGGTGGGGATTCCCGGACCTATTTGGGTCCAGACAATGCAAATGATTTTTTGTTATTTCTAAGGGTCCGTTTGATTGCAAAGGTGAAAAATGAGTGGAAAGAAAATGAATTCCAAAACAAAAAATTGCCTAGAACTTGGTCTCTAATGAATTGTTAATTAAGTGTGTTTGATTGGTATAATTTTCCACTCGGAAAATTTTAAAATTATTGCCAAAAAATAAAAAAAAAAAAAAAAAATTGTTTCCTAAAAAATCATTTTTTTAATCAAAGTTCAGTGTTCGTTTGACTTTATTTTACATGAAAATTGTCAATTAAAATGAATTTTTTTTACAATTGATTATAAAATTTATTCCAATTGTTAAAAAAGAAAAAGTTGGAAATCTATTTCCCACCAAAATGGTGGGAAATCAAATTCATCAAAAAGGTAGAAAAGATGCACGTGTGGGTCTAAAGTGGAAAAGTAATTGCCAAAAAAATTATGACTATCAAATAAACCAATTGGTAGGAAATGGAATTTAAATTCCAAATTCCATGGAAAAGTTTCATTATCAAACATGGTCGTCTAAAATTTGGACTAGCCTACTTATTATGGACCATTGGTTGGGCTAGGTTCTATACTAAGTTCATGGCCTTAGATCGAGTTTTATGCTTATGACACCGTATACTAAATTAAGCACTTTTCAACTTGAATAAGCCTCTATTTGAATGCCATTATTGATAAATAATAATAATAATAATAAATAAAAATGATGTTTTGAATACTGATTTTTTGAAAAATGCGTGATTAAAAAATTAGAAATTTTTTTAGATTTACGTGCAAAATATTTTATTGTGTGAATACATGATTGAAAATGAATATTGACGATACCAAAAATCGCGCATGTTGATTCTCAAGCTTGGTAATTGAAGATGAGCACGAACATAATTCTCCAGTTCCTGAAACAAAGGCGTGGAGGTGTGTACTCATCGCCCCTCCGATACTTAAGTTAAAGAGAGAATTTATGCTTGAAGCTATAAGTTGAAAATTATATAAAAGTGTACCTTAATAATGAATAGAACCTTCGTATTTATAGAAGAAGGTAGCATACTCCTGGTAAGACTTGGTTAGCTAAGTATCTTTATCTTTATAAGTCCTACCTGAGATGGGTGTTGGATTTGTACTACAATTTTAAGTCTTGTCACAGTTGATGGCAATATTGCCGAGATAGAGTCCTCTTAGAGATACGAGTCTTGGTTTAAGATGTTTGAACGAGATTAGAATCCTTGGAGAGTAGGTTCTGGCTTAAGTAGGAAAGGCCTTTGAGTAGCAAAAAAAAAGTAATTGAGGACTCAACATCTTGATTCTCACAATATCCCGAGGACTTAATCCGATGACGTTTTCCACCTGAAATTATGAAGTATGATGTAAGTCCTCAGGGGTATCCAAAGGATAAGCTAAACCCGAGGACTCCATAGCGCATATATGTTAAGTCAGCATATTATGTCCTCGGGGGTTCTACTCCTCGAGGCATAATAATTATAACCATATCAAGTATGATAATTAAAGAGTTTTGTTTTAAATAAAGACAAATATGGGCTAAATCCTTATGTTTCAAATTAAATTCCAAAAATATAACATAAAATAATATAAATTACTCATTTTTTCATACTACAAAAGTAACTTTCTTTTTTCTAAAATTTTACTTTAGTCCTTGAAATATGCAAAATTGAAAATTTCGAACCTTCCAAAAATTACAATTAGCCTTTTAAACCTCAAATAATGACTTCAGAAGTTATAATAAACTGCGAATAACTTATTCATCAATTTAAATAGAACACGTTCAGTTTATATACACATTCGAATTTTCAAAAGTTGCACTTTGGTTCCTAAACATTTCAAATATTGGAGTGCCTTACCAAATTGGAAAATGATAGAGGTACATAGGGGGTGCCATAAGGGTTGACATAATAGCCAAATGGCCTACCAAATTTCTATACACAACACATTCAATTTTAAATAATTAATTCATTTAAATCTATTAAAAACAAAACAAAGTATACTAAGCCCCTATTTGTTGGGGGATAAAAAATCAAAATTTTAGTAGATTTTGATTAAAAAAAAAATTGATGAAATGTGAGGGTGAAAATTGTGGGTCCGATAAAATATGTGGTTAAAAATTGTTGACTTTAACTTATAGTAAAATTTAGATTTTAATCCATACCAAACAAGGCTAAATTCCATGATTTCCATCCTATCTTAAAAATTAATCATGCTTCTTTAAACTCATTAACATTGAAATAAAATAAATAAAAACTAAAAGTGGATGGTTACAGATTTTTCACTATAAATTGGACCTAAGGTCCAAGAGAAATCCAAAGGATTGGAGGAATAAGAGGGGGAAAAAAAATCTCTCAAAATGTACTCGAAATGAATGTAATACAACAGAAAAATATATGTCTCACGGTTGAGTTCTCTCTCTAGAGTTGATTGCCTTTTTTTCTCGTACTAGACGAGGTGTTTTCCTCCGTTCCCTGTGTTGAGGCATGCTTAGTCGACACTTAAATGGGCCTTTCTAAAAAATCTGGCTAGTAATCGCGGAGATAAGAGCGACGATGCTTGAAAACCTTATTTGGAGTCTACATTGGGAATTATAGAGATGTGTTAAGCATTGCATGTCTTAGAAATCAAGCTCTTTCTCAAGTTAAAAAAAAAAAATTAAATGGACATAAAAGTCAATTAATTTAATATGATAAGTTGCATCAATGATGCAGAGACAATATTGAATAAAACAATGCCTTCTCAAAATGAGACTCATAACTAAGAAATGAAAATGTACCATATGTATGTAGAAGAGAGCCGTGTTTAGTTTTTCCGATTCTTAGACCACTCCAATGTATGCACTAAAAATTGGGGTAAGTTTTACACTATTTTGGTGCAAATCTTGCATCAAACAAGGTCATCTACAATTCAAAACACCAAAAGTTGCACCAAATGAACTGTATTTCATCGTATTCTTCGTTTTTTTAATTCTTAACAACTTATTCATCTAAAAAAATATTTTTTATTACTATATAAATTACTAGATAAATAATTACGTTTAATTAATGAAAATATTGAATTCATAAATAAATTTTAAAAATTATTACATTAATACAAATACTATAATTAAGAAAATTTTACATTCAACATTATAATATTAAAAAAGAGTAATAATAATAATAAAGGGGACACAAATGAGAGAAAAATTTGTGCAATATCATACAGAAGGGCAAAATGGTACAAAATTACTTTGCCCCATTAAATTGCAAAGGGTACACACACACCACAATTTGTATTTCTTGATTTTAATTGCACTTAAAATTATTAATTTTTGCTCATTACATCACTTATATCTTTAACGATTTTTCATATCATTCTATCCTCAAATTTTTCATTAGTTAATACATTTTGTATTTGATAACATTTTATGTCTAAAAGTCCGTTTAAATGGCGTAAAAAACTTAGCTTCCCATCATATTTTTAAAAAGTAAATAAATAAAAAGTGAAAAAAAAATATATTTTTTCCCTTATTGCGAAGCATGAAAACAAAATATTTTGTTATAAATCATCATCAAAGATGAGAAATGCTAATTACTGAAAAACTGAAGATAAGAATTCAACTAGATTAAGAAAAAAATTGTTACAATGAGTAAATATGGAGAATCTTAACTGCAATTAAAATGTGGTGTATTAAATAAAAATTGTGGTGACAATATAACCACCCTAATGCAATATGGTGCAAAGTTGCTAAAAGAATATTCTCTTTCTGAATAGCATTCAGAGAAAGTCATGAATCATGACGTGTTTAGTAGAGATTAAAATCGAATTAAAATTGAAAAATTAGTCTTTATTGTTGACTTTTATTAAACAAGTGAGACCCAATAACTGATATATTTTCAATTTTAATTGAATTTTAAGCATAGGCAAACATGCTTTCAATTTCGTCTAAAAATTATTCCAATTAAAAGAAACATTTTTTAATTATAAAATACAGATTTCATATCCTTATAACTTAATTCCTAGGTTTCCATACTTTTAGGGATAATTGCAGCAAAGGTTCCAAACCTTTCAAATTTTTGCGCACTTTACCCTAACCTTTGATTTGTGCCAGCGAAGGTCCCAAACCTTTCAAAAATATGCGCCGAAGGTCCAAATGGACGGATTCCATCCAATTGACCATTAATCAACCCAAAAAGTCAAAATTGATTCAATTTTGACAAAATCAGGAGGGGTAAAATGGTACTTTCAATATTTATCCCTTTTAAATAGGTTAAAATATTTGTTAAAAAATAAAAATCAATTTATAACACTTCTTCCTCCCACCCCACTCCGACCGCCACCACCGTCGCCCCAAAGCCAGCCACCGCCGGGGGCGGCACATTGCCGGCACCACCCCTATCTCCTCCCCCAACCCCACTCTCTACACCCCCAAAATGCTATCACCACAATCAAACCAAAACCTACACCCAAAAAATAAAAATAAAAACCCAAAAAGACGTGGATGGTGAGCTTGAAATGGAAGATGTGTCTGAACACCAAAAAGACGAAAGACCACTGTCCAACAATGGGGCTTTTGAGACTGCAAAAATTCAGCCAGATGCAGATACGATTCTGGTGTCAGCTCCAAACAATTATTTTCAATTGTTGCCTCTACCTGATTGTTCGCCACCATTGCCTTTTGATTCTCCTCCTGCACACCTTTACCCACTTCACCACTTCCATTGCCACCTCCGCTGCCACATTCATCGTCTCCATCCCCACCGCCACCGCCACTTCCTTCATCAGAGAGATCTCTATTTCCTCCACCACCCATCGGTCCTCCTCCGCATTACTTCCAGCACCATCGTTGCCTCCAAAGCCTACATTGATGTCCCAAAACATGGCACCACTTTGCAAAATCAGTAGATCCAGTAGATCAAAACAAAATCAGCTGTTTGCAAACAACAGTCGACAGAGTGGCTGAGCTGGTGACGGGTCGAATCGGGTAGATGAAAACCTAATCAGCCGTTTGTAGTAGGTCGGCGACGTTGCCGTTGCCGATAAGAGTCCCAAAAATGTTGAATTTAGTGGTGGGTCGCTGTAAACTTCCGTTGAACTAGTGGCTGGGATTGTGGGCTTGGGGTTGTGAAGTTCGTAGGTGACGGAAATGCAAAGTGAAGGCTAGAAATGTGATACTGGTCATGAACATCTGACGGACAGATTTTTTATCAAATAGCTCTGAAGAATGGGCAACGAACAGGCCCTAAATGTTACTGTGGTGGTGGTTTTGTGATAGTTTGTGGCTGGCTTTTGTGGTAGGTGCAGATTTATTGTCGCTGGTGATGACTTAGGGTTTGGAGGTGGTGGTTTATGGAGGCGACGGCGGTGGCGGCGGCGATGGTGGTGGAGAGAGTTTTGGAGAGGAAGAGAGAGTCACGGTTGTTGGAGAGGAAGAGAGAGAGAGAGTTTTTTTCTTTTTCTGTTTTTTCTTTTAATTGTTGTTTTAATAGATAAATGGCAAAGTTACCATTTTGCCCCTTTTCATTTTGTCAAAATCTACTATTTCTGGTCAACTAACGGTCAACTGGATGGAATCCATCCATTTAGATCTCCGGCGCATATTTTTGAAAGGTTTGGGACTTTCACTGGCACAAATCAAAGGTTAAGATAAAGTGTGCAAAAATCTGAAAGGTTTGGGACCTTTGCTGCAATTATCCCTACTTTTTAATTATGTGTACGCCAAAAAATTATTTTTTATAAAATTTATTTATAAAGAAAATAGATCAAAGAATCGCGAAATAAAATAGTAATATTCACCATTGAACGGCACCACGCATCTCGAGCCATCCGAAATTTGAATTCGAAAAAACCCTAATCTGTCGTTTTCAGTTCTTCACTCTATCTGCCCCGCCTGCATTCACCCTTATCTCCTCGAGTTGAAGTGCGCACTTCCCATTTACCTCAGCCATATAAAAAAAATTTCCCAGAAAAGAAGACCCTAAACCTCATATCTTCCATCCTCTCGTTCGCCACAAAAAATAAAAATAAAAAAAATACAAGAAACCAAGGCAGAGCATTCCCATAAAAGCAATGGCAAAGAAGAAAATGTCCAACTCCCACCAAGAGAAAATGCATCAGAAGCAAGAAGAACTCGTCCAGGTCCCGCAAAAAGATTTGATAGCCATGGAAAATGAAGCCTCGGTGAAGCTCGAGAGCCTCAAGTCTCTGAACCAGAGGCTTCTTAAGGAGGCAATGGAGCGCCGCCAAGAGGTGGAATCTCTCATGCTATCGAAAGGGTCTCTGGAATCGGAGCTTACTGGGGCTAACTCGAAGATGGAGACGTTGCGGAACGAGTTGACTCAGGTGAGAGATAGGGTTGTGCATCTGGAACTGGAAAGGAATGTTGTGTCTGTATTTGTTGCTTTGCAGTTGGATCACCACGCTGAGGTGGTTGAGCGGAAAACCAAGGGTTTGGAGAGTAAAATAAAGGATTTGTCAAGGGTGATTGAGGAAAAGGAACGCAGAATCGTGTCGTTGAACGAGAAATTGAGTGAGAGTGTAGCAGAATTGGAATCTGAGCGAGAGAGTTCGAGAAGGGTTATTGAAGAGAGGGATGAAATGAAGGCTAAACTTGATGCGCATATAGAGGAGTTTAATGAATTGAGGACGAATTTGGTTGAACTTGAGGAAGGAAAAAAAGTGATCGAGCAAGAGAGAGAGAAAATACGTGATGAATACAATCGTGTCTTGGAGGAAAAACAGGAGAGGGAGAGGAAAATCGAAGTGATAATGAGCAATAAAAATTTGTCAGAGAAGAGTTTAGTTGAGTCGAATAAGTTGATCGAGGAAATGAAGAAAGAAATTCAGGAGATTGTCAAGGAAAAACATAGAATTGAAAAGGAGAGAACATTGGAAATGTTGAAAGGAAGTGAGTTGGAGAGTGTAGTGAGTGGTCTGAATGAGAAGGTGACGAGTTTGCAAAAGGAGGAGGAATCGTTGCGTGCAAATTTAGCTGACTTGGAGAAGAAATGCTCCGAAGGTGTGGAGAGGGAGAAGGATATGGGAATGGAGATTGATGAATTGATGAAGGAAAAGAAGCTGAATGAGAAGATTTGTGAAGGACTGATTGAAGAGAAGAATCTTGTTGAGAAGAATATGAATGAGGCATTGAAGCAATTAAACGAGCACAGACGTAAAATTGACGAATTGGCCAATGAGAAGATTGTGTTGGTGAATGCTAAAGATAGACTTACAAGTGAAGTAGTTTCCTTGCAAAATGAAGTGGTTAAATTCCAAAGTGTAGTTTTAGGATTGGAAGTGTCTGGCCGGGATAATGTAGAGAAAATTAAGAACTTAGAATCTGAGATAAGTGGTTATAAATATGAGGTTGAGCAGATGAAAGGTGAGCGGGACGATTTTAGAAAGTATTTGGATGAGGAAAAACAAATTGCTATGGGATTGAAGGAGAAGATTGAAGAAATGGAGAAAAGAATTGAAGAGAGCGAGTTCGCTACTGGGAAAGTGAAGGCTGAGAATCTCACTATACTTGGAGAAAAGAAAGAATTGGAAAGCCAATGTGATGTGTTGAAGAAGTCTATGGCCTCTCTTGAAAAATCACTTGGCGAGGCGCAAAATGGACTTGATGCCATGCGGGGTAAAGTGGAATTGGCAGATGCTAATACAAGTCTAGTTATGAAGATGTTGAGGGACACAGCAGCTTTTTGTTCAAAGGATGAAAGGGATGCCGCAGAAGGTGATTTGCTTGGTGGCAAGCAGATTAATGGTGAAGAAATGAAGACACACGCCGTGGAACTGGAGAAGATCAAGAATGCTTTTGTAAGTAAAGAAACTAAAGTCGAAAACATGAAGAAACAACTAGAATTCCTGCAGATTTCGGTAGCTGAAGCGCACAAGAAGAAGAGCTTTTGGACTGTATTGTCCTCTGTTACCACACTTTTGGCGGCCGTTTCTCTTGCATTTGTTGCTCACGGGCGTTGAGTACTTTTATATAGGTTTCACTGCTGAAGTCTTTAACAAATTTTGGTGTTAAAACTAATTGCAATATGATGCTATTGTGGGCTATGACTATATAGTTCTAGAGTTTCTTTTTTTATGTAATAAGTCTCTTGATGCTGATATTGTATCATAACAACTATGATATTAAACTTCTTTTAAGTTTTGATGCTATCCAAGAGATGTAACCGAACAAATTCTACACTTCAGAGGTTGTAATTTTAGATGCAATGTAGATTTATGCATCAGAATCTGACATGCCTTATGTTTTGATGATTTTTGTTACAAAATGGAGTATAAATATTGAGTAGTGCTACAAGTACTTCAACGGTGTCATAATGGAAACATGGCACCCCACTATTGGTGTGTGTGGGGTGCCACGTGTCCATAATAGTGGGGTACCATGTGTCCATTATGGACACCATTATGGCACCCTTAATGTATAAGAAGAATATCCATAAATATTTCCCAAGCTCTCCTGAAAACAAATTGTGTTTGGATGGGTGGGAGTGCAAATTGTTAGGTATTTAATGTAATTGACAAATATGTGAATAAATGGGACTTAAATTGATATGTTGTGAGAGTCAAGAAGTAATATGCAAATAATAGAAAGTTGTGTTATATTAAGTCTAGGGTTCGAGAATGGAAAAGAAGGAAGAATGGAGTCGGAATACCGCTAGCTTATCCCCAAGGTTTGGCTCAAGCTTCAGAAACAGAAATTGCGTCGCCCACCTGTTGCATCGCCTTCGCTCGAGCGACAACCAGTCGCTCACTCTTCGCTCGAGCGATAGTGCTATCCAAGAATTTTTAATTCCTTTTTTAAAGACTTTTTGTCTGGCTCATCCATTCCTTAACCCAACCTATAAATATCAAACGTCACAGAACGTTTTTTTCTAAGGTTGTTCATTAAACAAACACTTAGCTTTTCATGTTCTTTTCATCAATTACTCTTCAATTTTCGTTATTCACATAGTAATCTATTGTTGGCGGTGAGAAAAACATCAGATTCATAATCTAAATACCAAACTATTGTTTCCTTCATATCAGAGTTTTTGAAAATTAAAGGTAGGTGACTGGAGTTGCAGTCGTTGAAGAACGCGGCGTCCTTCGTGCATCCACATGAGATAGACGATTTCACAAAACTAGAAGTTGCTGCATGAGAGCGCAATCCAGGAGAGTTTTGGAAACTGCAGTTGGGGAGTTGGTGCATGAGCACAGAATCCAGGAGAGCTGTTAGGATTACAGTTAGGAAATCAAATAGTACGTATCGTCGTCTAGCTGGTAGACTGTAAGTTACAAATCTTTTATAGTGGATTGTTAACTAACAAAGTGTCTGGAGTTTTTACCAAGTTAGTTTTCTCCATGATCAATTATGTGTTATTTATTGCTTTTATAATTGCGATAATTTAACATAGGAAAATATGAATTATATGATTAACCATCTAGAAAATAATTAATATTGACTTGTTACTATTTAATTGTAAACTATTTATAATTCCACACAGTCACCTATTCACCCCCTATAGGTGTTACTAGGGTCAAACTACGTATTTTCACAAATAACTAGCACATACATAGCCGATTTCATGAAGAAAAAGTTACATTCAGACAATGCATGAGCCCTTCCGCTCCCACTCATAGACATGTTAAGTACATAATATTTGATACAATTCAGAATCGTTACTATTTATTCAATGTTGCTTCTATTCACCTTAATGAATTATCAAGCATCAAAACTATTTGATCTATGATGATAAATTTAATACAACGGTTTCTTACACTAGTGGATTAGGGGATACGATGAGGAGGGATTGAATTAGGGGATTGCATTAAGGTGGATTAGGAGGTATTGCATTAATATTTATACACCGTATTACACCATATAGGATAAAAATTATCTCATTACGACATTTGGTTTTGCCAATAAATATGGATATTGGAAACAGGTGTGGGAGAGGAATTTAGTTAATAGAGTGGATTTGGTAATAAAATCTAATTATGGTCAAAAGGGTTTTTGTTAGGGATTATTGGGAGCAAATTAATCACGCCCAAGCCCACACCATCAGGCTCAAGTGAGGTTCCAATCCAAAACCAATTGGCAATGGATGGAATAACTCACTTAGGTTATATGGTGAATTATTTTTCTTCCCACAACCGATGTGGGACTTGTTTTTGCCCCAACAATCCCTCCCTCAAACAAAGCACACAAGGTAAATCACCAATCATCGAGATAATCCATCGTAGTCTGCACCCACACCCTCAAACAAGGCTCACGAGGTACGTCACACCACCACTTCGATTCACCTAGCCGTTGTTTGAAGAGTCTCGTCCATCAACCTGGCTCTGATACCACTGTTAGGGATTATTGGGAGCAATACCCAAGGCCCCACCAAGTAATTAACCAGGCCCAACCCCATACCATCAGGCCCAAATGAGGTTCCAACCCAAAACCGATTGACAATAGATGGAGTAGCTCACTTAGGTTATATGGTGGATCTTTTTTCTTCTCACAACCGATGTGAGACTTGTTTTTGCCCCAATAGTTTTCTATAAAAACCCAAAACATCTAATGAAATTGATGGTGACTGAATTGAGATCTCTCTATTTTTGCCTTATATTGGTTGTGGTTGAATTAGAGTAAAGTGGGGGACGTCCGGAGGTATGGAGGTTCGGTGGTTTGAGTGGTGGTTGGCCAGCATTTGTGGGGTGGATATGGCGGTGGTGAATGGTTGATTTTCGTGTCTTAATTTTTATTTTTTAATTATTTATGTACTTTTTGAAAATTTTTGGAGTATAGTTGCAATTTGTTCTTTATTTTTCTTTTCTTTCCTTTTGTTTTATTTAAATATAAACGTATATTCGTCATTTCACAGCTTTTAATTGAAAAAATGGATAAATATGATGATTTTACAAGGAAACGTGACAATAATATCGAAAGGTAGAAACGTTTTGTGCTAATTACCCAAAATACCTCAAACTGCGAAGCCAAACCTAGAACGTCAATAGTTTCTACCGTACAAACCCATGTAAGCAATGAAAAATGGATTATTTTTTCTTTCGGCATGAAATTCTATTAGTGGAATGTTCTTGAAGTTGATTCAATTTCCTTGTGAAAATGGAAACTACGGTAAACACAAAAGAACAAATTAAAGTGAAGATTATCAATTTCCAGATAGTAGTAAAAGGTTCTGATTCGTAACACATGAATAGATATTTGCTCAAATTTTTCTCTAACGAATGCGATAAATATTTGAAATATATCAAATAATGGGAAAATTGAAATATCTTATTAATAGAATACGAATATAACATTTTTATGACCTTAACATGTATTTATATACTCTAAATAAATTGTAATCATATTGAGGTTATAATTCAATAGATAAAAACAAATAAAACTAAAAAAAAAAAAAAAAAATACAAAAAACGAAAATACCCTTAAATTAACTAACAATAAAAAAAGTTAAAACGGATCCCTAAACGATGAAATTTGACTCCAAAATTTAGACAATGCTGGCACCCGCCAAAATCGTGCGGAATTGAAAAAGGCTTCCGGATTGTACTCACAAACAAAAAAATTGACACACGAACTGAAAGTTATGCACATTTTTGTAGATACCTCTATTTCTAATTGGTTAATGATTTTTTCTTCTAATTGATCTGCATTATTTAGTCTCAACCGCTTCACGATCAAATATTTAACATGATAACTCAAAATCAAACGAGTACTTCTATAATAGACAAATCAAAGTTCCAATTCCAAAACTCAGTAAATCTTAAAATGCAGAAACGAGATGGGTATAAATTCTAGAAATCAAAGTTCATTATATGAAAAAATTGGAAATTAAAATCTAAGGTTTTAAATTTGAGACAAAGCATTTGGAATTGGAGAATAGTATAGCAAAATAATAATAATAATAATAAGAAATTATAACTGAACCTTCAATAAGCTTGTCTTTAGATCCTCTTTTAGTCCTTTGGGTCCTTGAACTTTTACCTTAGCAATATTGGTGAAGTAGATTCAATAGAGTAGAGAGGGATGGGATGTCTCCAATTTAGTTCCGGTTCGTCTATCATTTTGCACGTAAATTCAATTTTTTTCTACTTTTTAACTATACGTTTCCCAAAAATTTACTATTTCAAAATTATTTTTTACTAAATAAGGAAAGACAAGCAGGAGGATTGCTTTGGGATGGGCCAATGGTCAAGTTTTAAGTGCATTAGGCTAAGAGGAAATTAGGCTAAGTACGGCCCAAAACCAAGAGAATTGATTAATACCCTAAATTACTAATTTATTCATTGACATCCAAATTAACCGTAATTTCTACGTGAAAACTATTGAAAAGAAATCATTTACAGCCCCAACCAAGTCCTAACTCAAAATATGCTCCAATCCACTCATCTCTGAAAAAGTGTTCTGTTCATCATCACTATTAAATACTTTGTGATCCACGCTACTCCATCATTTACCGGTGCCAACACCATTACAGATCTCTGAAATCATTTCTTTTTTTATTTTTCTTTTCTTGTTCAATTTACATAGGAGGGTATATTGGTCATTTTGAATTAAAAAAAATGTGCAAAGGATGTTCAGTGCAAAGAAATGCAGAAGGTAGGGACGTTTTGTGCAAAAAAATGAAAGGTAGGGATGTTTTCTACAATAAACTTGATAGGTAGGGACGTTGCGCACCAAAAAATCAAACGTAGGGATGTTTTCCATACAACCCTTCAAAGGTAGGGACGTTTTGCGCCAATAACCCATATCGAAAGGTAGAAACGTTTTGTGTTAATTATCCAAAATACCTCAAACTGCAAAGCCAAACCTAGAACGTCAATAGTTTCTACCGTACAAACCCATGTAAGCAATGAAATATGGATTATTTTTTTCTTTCGGCATGAAATTCTATTAGTGGAATGTTCTTGAAGGTGATTCAATTTCCTTGTGAAAATGGAAACTACGGTAAACACAAAAGAACAAATTAAAG